AGGGGGAGAGGGGGGGAGTGCTCTATTTCCTTGCCTTTGTGATTTTTAGCGAATGTTTTTTATCCGAGATTTCCAACTTGGGGGTCACAAAAGCTTGGAAGCGGAGATTTTAGGATAATGTTCCCTACCTGAGTGTGACCGCGCAGATTTAAGTTCAACCCTCACGTGTGCTTAGACCTCATGTATGGACGAGTAAAAATTTTGGCGGAAAATATGCCAACTCGGAAGCCATAAAAGTTATTATGCCGATCCCTAGCCTCACGCACGAACACATTGAAGTTCCGGCGGGAAATACGCTAACTGTGTAGCAGTAAAAGTTAGTATGCTGAAAGTTTTGGGGATGGTTCCTTGCCTACGCACAATCCCGCAGATTTAAATTTAGCCCGAATCTACACTTAGTCTCACATGTGGGCACGTGAAAGTTTTGGGGCTAGAACTGCTAGCTCGAGAACGAGCTGAGACAGAAAGCGGGATATTTTCTGACTATGCGTGACACCGAAAAATTAAGTTTAGCCGGTACGCCCAGGTCTAGCGTGCGGGTATATGGAAGTTTCGGCCGATGAAAACATTCCGATAAATTCTGCACATGTCACATAGTAAGGCACTGCACATTTTTAACAGCAACGGTCCTGGACAAAAATGCATAAGACACATAATCGCATCAAATGCCGTGGTGCGTTCCGTTATCCAATTTTTTTTTTTTTTTTTTTTTTTTCACTTTACTTTTTTGCATTTGTAAAATGGTAAAAACTGATGGATTTTTGAACTCTATTTTTTGTTAAATTTTCAGGCAAAAAATTTCACAAAAAATTTTCGAGCTACCAGCGAAGGTGCAAAGTGGTTGAATGCCGATGCCAGTGCATCTTTTTCAGCGACTGTTCGTTCGTATATGCAAAATTTCAGCAAACTCTTGGACAGGGTATTCATTTTTGATAATTACACAATGTTAAGAAAACGTAAGGAAAATCACTAATTCGAGGGAGGATAAAATTATGCGATAAAAGGAAGCCTAAGAATTCGTCTGTTGCACTGTTTGTAAGTGAAAACAGATTAATGAAAAGCTAATCAAGTCAAAAAGTCACATCTTGGGGCCAGAAATCATTGGAACTTATGGCACTGTTTCCTTCAGCTTTTTTTTTTTGGAGTCAGTTTATTTGGCCAATACATAAGGCACCTGGTTCAGATGTTGTACTGAACTTGAATTTTTTTGTGATTATTCAATTGACTTGTCATATTTTCCATCTTTGAGGCCACTTCTCTAGCTTTCCAACTCTTTAGCTGTTTTGACCAGTACGGTCAACGCGTGGCGTTCAGTTAGCTGGCGACTTTGATGTTCGCTTTATCTCATGAACGAATTACCAGCTTAGCGGATGTCGGGATAGAAGCACTTCGTAAGGCATTAGTCGTTTCGAGATTCCCTTGGGCCCATCAGAACTTATTTCGAAACGTTATCATTTCTAATTTAAGGTTTTGGAAAAATATGAACAAAAAATGAAAGAGTTGTAAAGAATTATTATTGTTGGTAAGAAATGTTTCGGTCCATTAAGTTGTATACATTTCTTACCATTGCCAATCACGATGAGCCTGTTATTGGATAAGTGTATTACTCAGAGGA